GATTGTCCCATTCCTGTTGCAACGCAGCAGCAAGTTCTTGGACATTGGCAGGACGTTGTTGACGTTGACGTAACCTCTGTCCAAGCATGTCCCAGACATGCTCGATGGGGGAGAGGTCGGGACTCAGTGCTGGCCAAGGTAATGTGGTGATGTTCTGTTGTTGGAGGTAACCTGTAACGATCCTGGCCCTGTGACATCTTGCGTTGTCATCCTGGAAGATGAAACGGCGGCCATGACGTCGTGCGAACGGCACAACATGGACTGCCAAGATGTTGTCCCGGTAGTACTGGCCTGTAACACGCCCTGCAACAACATGTAAAGCCGTTCTTCCAGCAACAGTGATGCCTCCCCACACCATAACAGAACCACCCCCAAATCGATCATGTCTGGTGACGTTAACGTCTTGGAAGCGCTCGTTTCGACGACGCCACACCCTCCTACGTCTGTCCAAAAAATCAACAGTGAACCTTGACTCATCTGAAAACATCACATTGCTCCAGCGTTGATTATCCCAGTGTTGACGATCCCTACACCAACGACGTCTTGCCTGAATGTGATGATCTCTCAAACAAGGGATCACGCGAGGGCGCGAAGGTGACCCCTATGCAGTCGATTCCGAATCGTCTGGCCACTCACTCTCACACCAGTGTCTGTTTGAAGACGAGCGCTGATCTGATTTGCTGTGATGACACGATTTCTCAAGGCCAAGGTACGGATAAATCGATCCTGGGCTTGAGTTGTCGCCCTTGGTCGACCTGAGCGTGGTCTGTCCTGTACAGATTGTGTATCACGGTATCTGGACCATAGCCTGCTTATGACAGACTGAGAAACATTCATCGTCCGCGCCACAACCGCCTGTGTTGTGCCGATCTGTAGCATGCCAAGGGCACGTAACCTTTCATTTTGGGTAAGCCGACGCATATCAAAATTTGTTTTCTGGTCACTAAAACAATTAAACTGATGTTTCCACCCTGGAATTCAATGCCACAATGACTGTAACATTCAAAGTCAGAGTCGTGCAAATCTTGGGTTGGACCCCCATGATGATCCCAAGCATCACCTGCATTCCATGCGGTAGCTATTGGTGCGTTTGGGCGTCACATGTAACTGGAAATGTTTCTTCTGTTAGGTTCTATAGTGACTTTTTTCGTAGTCATTTGCATATTTTAGTATTATGCCCCCAAAATCAAATATCCCCTACTTTTTTTGAATAGTATATTAAGTCAAGCGAGTCTAGATCCGGCCAATCAGATTTCGTATCGAGTAATGGGCGTCTTCCGTAAATGGTCTTCCACCAATCAAAAAATGAGATTAATCCAACACGTGGCATCTCTAATATTTGCCGGGATTTTTGGAAGATATAAATATATCTAGCTAAACTTTCACCATTATCTTCACTTAATAAATTACTTTGAAACGACAATATTGGATCTCTCTTATATTCAGGTAAGCCTCTATGTATATTTTAATTGTTTAAACTTTATATATATTTTATTCTAACCTTTATATCGGATCAATACGATTAGTAGAATCGAGTATTACATTAATAGATATTTCTACATCTACGTAAAATATTAATTAATAAACGGAAAAGTAAGAATTGATATGATTCATTACTTGTTTAATTACTTGAGAATATTTTACAATATATATATTTATTAAAACGGAAAAGTACGTTTGTCGACGAAATACTTGTTTGTTTAAATATGTTTCAATAACAGATAATTAATAATTAGAAATGGTTCGCGCTAAATTAAACGGAAAAGTAAGGATTTACATGATTTATTACTTGTTTAACTTCTAGCGAATATTTTACAATATATATTTTTAATAGACGGAAAAGTACTATATATTCGATAGATTACTTGTTTATTAAAGAAATGTGTTATTTAGATTAGTGGAAATAATTAGTGACTAAAAAGTACGGTATATGTTATTTTCGATTAATACTTGTTACTAAATAGAGAATAAAGATTTAATAGTTATATTGACTAAAGATTTAATAGTTATATTTAATAAAGATTTAATAGTTATATTTATTAGTTACATTTAATAAGGATCGTACATTTAAGAAATTCTACATCAGTAACTTGTACCTCTTCACAAGCGAGTTAGCTCTATTGTATTACATTGAAATTATACATATATTATTATTGTTATTATATGCTACACCACCCTATGTATATATATTATTATAAGCTACACCATCCTTTACATAGTATTTACGTTATATTGTTATTAATGTTTGAATTTGAATAATGATGATCTTCACTTAATAAATTACTTTGAAACGACAATATTGGATCTCTCTTATATTCAGATTAAAAACCACCGAAAACCACACTTTTACAATAGCGTAAAAATATGGCATATCAAGGTTGTGGACCCTATAGAGGTCACAATTTTTATCCGATTTTGTTGAAACTTGAAATGTAAGTTTATAACTCAAAGATCTCGGTTCCTTTCGATATTCGCGCATATCGGACCGTAACTTCCTGAATTATGGCCCCTGATTGTACGAAAAATCGTGTTTTTAGCTTGTGGACCCTATAGAGGTCATAATTTTTATCCGATTTAAAAAACCGTATAATTATATCACCGTTACACCATAAGGACGACTGAGTTCGAATTTCGTGAAAATCGGCCCAAAATTGACAGACAAAATGGCCGCCGTTCGTTCTCAAATAGCGTAAAAAATATGGTATATCAAGGTCGTGGACCCTATAAAGGTCACAATTTTTATCCAATTTTGTTGAAACTTGAAATGTAAGTTTATAACCCAAAGATCTCGATTTCTTTCGATATTCGCACATATTGGACCGTAACTTCCTGAATTATGGCCCCTGATTGTACGAAAAATCGCGTTTTTAGCTTGTGGACCCTATAGAGGTCATAATGTTTATCCAATTTAAAAAACTGTATTATTATATCACTGTTACACCCTTAGGACGACTGAATTCGAATTGCGTGAAAATCAACCCAAAATTGACAGACAAAATGGCCGCCGTTTGTTCTCAAATAGCGTAAAAATATGGTATATCGACCCTATAGAGGTCACAATTTTTATCGGATTTTGTTGAAACTTGAAATGTAAGTTTATAACTCAAAGATCTTAGTTCCTTTCGATATTCGCGCATATTGAATTGTAATTTCCTGAATTATGGCCCTTGATAGTAGGAAAAATCACTTTCTTGTTAGGTTGTTCTCTATCCATCTCTCGAAAATGTGGGCGTATCCTGCCTGGCAGCCGCTGGTTATGAGATAAACGTAAGAAACGAGAAGGTACATACTGTTTAATCAAATCGGATAAATAGGATCGTGCCAAAGGATCGCTTAAACAGTTGGAAGTGATTGTGTTAATTTTGACAATGATGCGTTAATTAACCGGTAACCAATTTAACTGTTTTAGAACAGGTGTAATATGGTCAGATGGTTTGGTTAGAGATACAATTCGAGCTGCTTTATTCTTGATTTTCTGTAGCATGTATTTTAATACCGTGTGAAATAAAGTCAATTCATATTTGTCATTTATTTAGTTAAAAACAACAACTCTAGTGACAATCCTGTTATATTAATGTTTTAATCAAAGTCAATTTAATCATGAAGTACATTTTCCTTTCAAAGTCATTTTATTTTCAAAGTCATTTTTAAAATCAAAGTCATTTTTTAAATCAAATGATAACCGACAAAGAACCTATTAAAGTATCTTTTATATGAAATGAAGCCTATGTGATCACAGAACGAAACCTGTGGTAATCTAGTCTTCTCAATAATCGCTCTTCAGCAATCAGTCAATGTGTACAATAATTAATCAGCCAATGTACACAATGCCTGGAAATTTTAGGCAATGTACACAATGACTTGCCTCATGTACACAATGACTGACCAATGTACACATTGACTGGTTATTTCAGGCATTGTACACATTGCCTGATTGGAGACATTGACTGTAACATATGAACAAGCGCAGACTTTATGAGTTTCTTTACAATATATGTAAACAGATCAGAAAAGTTGAAAGCTTAAAGTTAAGTAAAATATAAATTGACACTGAAAGGTTGTTTTAAAAAAAAACCCAGGAGATGGTTATAAAATGGTACAGATTATTTATCATAATCTGTTTTAAATATACATTATGTAAGAGCTAAATCTGCCAATTGCAGGTCTTTCTTTAGGCCTGAAATGTTATCTAAATTATTAATTAGATATTAATTAACTTATACAGACCATAATCATCTCTCGATGGCATAGCTAGCCTGCGATATTTACTGGATTAGAACCCGGTCTCCTGCTTCTGATTAATTAAAAAAATGGATAATCAAAACTACCTATTTTATTGTTCTGACTGTAGTATCGAGGTTCGGCCCCAAATTAAACCTCTAAATACTCAGTTCGGGGTGGATCAATTTGACTGAAATATTCATCAAATTCCCTTTACATTATTTAGTTTTTATCTATTATATTGAGAACTGCCAGCTCTTTATCTAATCTCCCATACTGTATCTTTAATAAAGTGGCTATTGTTACAACGAGTCTGAGCCAAGTTTAGAACAAATTCCAAAATAGCTGCCAATCTCCCCAACACCAGCTTTGAAAAAGGGACAATATTTTCAACGTTTTCAGAACTGAAGGCAGCAATTAAGAGATTGGAAGGGTTAGGGTTAGTACTAATTTTACGACTATTCAATTTTTAACAATAGCCTGAGGACTATTTTTACGAATCGTTGTAACAATAGCCACTGCCTATCTTTAAACATGCCTACCTAACTTAAAGAACCCTATGCTCAAGCCAATTTTTGAAATATATTTGTACTATATTAGTCTTTAAATGCCTTGGTTTGTGTTGAGATTATAATCCCATTTTCCTCCGTTTGTTTGACGTTAACCGTAGAAGTTGATGGGACGAAAATGGCCTATTATGAGTTATTCGGGTAGGATAGATCCGCATCTTCTATCAATATACAACTATTTCAATGTTTGTTCCGGAAATGAACGTGGGATAGCGAAGAAAGGCGGTTTTCTTTATGCCATCACACTTCTCGTCTGTGGAAATTAACACTGTTAACCCCCAAGACGACTGACTTTGTTTTGAAGCGTTAAATCAACTTGTATCTGTAAACATCAACAAGTAACGGTCATAACATCACAATGGTAAGTTGTCAGCGTTATTTCACTTTGGGACTCGCGTCATTTGACCGCGACATTTGGGACTCGGGTATACGACGTTTGGGACTCGGGTAAACGACATTTGGGGCTCGGGTATACGGCATTTGAGACTCGAGAAAAAATGGTGGACACAATATGCCAATTGGCAATTGAATTATAAGTAGGCCTATAATTTATTATAATCAAAAAATACCAACGATTTAAATAAAATATATTTTTAACAATACATTTATTTAATACATAATTGACAGATTGAATAAAATATATTTTAACAATACCGTTAAAAAATACATAATTCACAGATTGAATTTAATTTCTTTATTATTATTCATAATCTGTCTTCGGCCATCATCTAAAACGAAAAAAGATAACTTCTTAAGAGTTCCAAATGTCGTTTATATTGAGTCCCAAATGTCATTTGTGTTGAGTCCCAAATGACGCCAATCAAGTCCCAAACGTCGTCAACTGAGTCCCAAATGTCGTCAACTGAGTCCCAAATGTCGTTTATGTTGAGTCCCAAATGACGTGAGTCCCAAATGACGTGATACCTAACAGGAGATGTTAAGGGGGGCTAGCCATGACCTTACACACAAATCTCAAGCGAATCGCTCAATGACTTTTCATATTACTGACCTGTTACCTTCTGATATCACAAACAATTCCATGCCTGAAAAGAATATGGCGTTTTGAACTCGGATAGGTGACGTTTCGGACTCGGATAGGTGACGTTTCAGACTCAGGAATAAGACTGTATCCCAGGTATCATTTAATCTTGTGTATCTAGCACTAATTTCTTTCACATTTGTTAATGAGTGTCCAATTTACTTTTAGTTAATTTTCATTTTCACAACAACTGAGTGTCCTAGCCATCGGAATGCCGATCAAACACTTGATCTGCATACTGGCAGAATAAACAAAAAATAATCTATCTAATTTAACCCATAGGTTGATAAAAAATAAAACATATAAAGATTAATATCTCAGTAACATTCTAAATATAAAAATTTTGCTGAATATCGACACTGATAAACACTCTATGGGGTCAGGAATTATCGTCATGGTGCATGTGTAGTAGACTGGTTTGTTTATGTTTTTTGTCTTTTACCACTGTATTTCGCATGCTCTGCGGACTGTTACCAGTAAAGATTGCCACAGTTTCGTGTTATTTTTTGAAAGAAAATTGAATGAGGATTAATTTGGTATAAGGTTTGCCATATCTATATGTCGTACTAAGACACTAAAATTAGCTTTGAAATCGGAACAAATTTTAAAATAATAATTAAAGTGAATGATTACAAGAAAATTAACACATATTTAGTATCATACGAAAGGTCATTTTTTTCTGCTTTTGTTACTATTTATAGGAAATGTATTTCGTTATTGGCAACTGTGGTTTACAGGGCAAGAAATTCACGTGAATTTCCGAATCTGATTCGCGGAAGGATTCTCGCAAGAGCTTACGTTGCGAATCTACAAGGATTCACGTAAAAAAAATTTAAAATAAAAAAAAAAAAAATCTCGGAGAATTGTCGAGTCCGACTATTGAATGTTGACAGTGTTCGTAATTTTGTCAGCTTTAGCCGATTGACATTTAATCTAGCCGATTGGTAAAACAATGAATCGGCCACTATGGTGTCATAAATCAATATCCTTTTGGCTAAATTACAACGGGGTAATAAAGAAGTCAATCAACTTGCTTGTCGGCTACAACAACAGTCATACCTTAGTGAGAATCGGCCATGTGGTTCATAATCCAAGAAATTAGCACATTTAAAAGTGATTTTGATAATCCGGTGAAAAAACAAAACACGCTTGCTGATAATACATAGTAGGTTCAGTAAAATCCGTCAGGTTGCGAATAAAGACGATCTCGACATGGTTTGCGAATCGCATGTCTTTACGCTCCGTCCGTGTGAATTCCAGGTACCAGTAAATATTAAAATAATAACTGGATCATACATTGATGGATTCACTGACCAGTTGTTAGGTAAATTTAAATCTTCATTGAATATAATCCCCTGGTAGAACACCGAATACGTACACGGAAAGAAAAACAGTGGGTATTTTCCCGACAGAATCTCAATTCCAATGACATGTGACAAATCGGTTGGAATAAGGTCAATAAACCAGATCTAAATAGCGTTTACCGTTATGATTTTTTATTTTATACACATGCTGACATAGGCTTAATTTTAAAAATATTATTTGTGGACTCTCTACAGGTCACAATTCTTGTCCGATTTTGACGAAACTTGAAATATAGCTTTATCCCAACAAAATCTTGGCTGCTTTCGATATTGGCATGTATCGGATCGAAACTTCATGGATTATGGCCCCTGTTTGTACGAAAAGTCACGTTTTTAGCTTGTGGACCCTATAGAGGTCACAATTTTTATCCGATTTTGTTGAAACTTGAAATGTAAGTTTATAACCCAAAGATCTCAGTTCCTTTCGATATTCGCGCATATCGGACTGTAACTTCCTGAATTATGGCCCCTGTTTGTACGAAAAATCGTGTTTTTAGCTTGTGGACCCTATAGAAGTCATAATTTTTATCCGATTTAAAAAACCGTATTATTATATCACCATTACACCCTAAGGACGACTGAGTTCGAATTTCGTGAAAATCGGCCCAAAATTGACAGACAAAATGGCTGCCGTTCGTTCTCAAATAGCGTAAAAATATGGTATATCAAGATTGTGGACCCTATAGTGGTCACAATTTTTATCCGATTTTGTTGAAACTTGAAATGTAAGTTTATAACCCAAAGATCTCGGTTCCTGTCGATATTCGCGCATATCGGACTGTAACTTCCTGAATTATGGCCCCTGATTGTACGAAAAATCGCGTTTTTAGCTTGTGTACCCTGTAGAAGTCATAATTTTTATCCAATTTAAAAACCCGTATTATTATATCACCGTTACACCCTAAGGACGACTGAGTTCGAATTTCGTGAAAATCGGCCCAAAATTGACAGACAAAATGGCCGCCGTTCGTTCTCAAAAAACGTAAAAATATGGTATATCAAGGTTGTGACCCTATAGAGGTCACAATTTTTATCCGATTTTGTTGAAACTTGAAATGTAAGTTTATAACCCAAAGATCTTGGTTCCTTTCGATATTCGCGCATATCGGACCGTAACTTCCTGAATTATGGTCCCTGATAGTATGAAAAATTGCGTTTTTAGCTTGTGGACCCGATAGAGATCATAATTTTTATCCGATTTAAAAAACGTATTATTATATCACCGTTACACCCTAAGGACGACTGAGTTCGAATTTCGTTAAAATCGGCCCAAAATTGACAGACAAAATGTCCGCCGTTCGTTCTCAAATAGCGTAACAATATGGTATATCAAGGTTGTGGACCCTAAAGAGGTCACAATTTTTATCCGATTTTGTTGAAACTTGAAATGTAAGTTTATAACCCAAAGATCTTGGATCTTTTCAATATTCGTGCATATCGGCCCGTAACTTCCTGAATTATGGCCCCTGATTGTACGAAAAATCGCGTTTTTAGCTTGTGGACCCTATAGAGGTCATAATTTTTATCCGATATAAAAAAACGTATTATTATATCACCGTTACACCCTAGGGTCGACTGAGTTCGAATTTTGTGAAAATCGGGCCAAAATTGACAGACAAAATGGCTGTCGTTCGTTCTCAAATAGCGTAAGAATATGGTATATCAAGGTTGTGGACCCTATAGAGGTCCCAATTTTGATCCGATTTTGATGAAACTTGAAATTCATATTTATAACCCAAAGATCTTGGTTCCTTTCGATATTCGCACATATTGGATCATAACTTCCTGAATTATGGCCCTTGATTGTACGAAAAATTCACTTCTTTTTTTGAGCTTGTTCTCTGTCCATCTCTTGCAAAATGTGGGCGTATCTTGCATGGCAACCGCTTGTTATATGTTACAGGAAACTAATAATCTTAAAACTTTTATATATTGCAGGAAACTATTGATGTTAAATCCTTTCATCAATGTACAATTTGTGATGAAATTTTTCCAAAATTTGATGATTTCGAAAACCACTACAAAGTGCATGCCAGAGAAGAGAAAACTGATGTAGATGAATATTGTCATGTTAAAGAAGAGAAAACTGATGACGTAGATGAATATTGTCATGTTAAAGAAGAGAAAACTGATGATATTGAAACATGCTATCAGTGTGATTTGTGTGATGAAGAATTTAAATTAGAAACTGATTTAGAAAAACACTGTGAAAAACATGTTAAAGATGAGGATTCTGTTTTACAACATGATAGAAAAATAGAGACAAGTTTTAGCCAGAATGCTAAAAAAGAAAAACACAATTCACAAGAGGCTAAGAAATGTGATGTTTGTAATAAATTATTTATTAATGAATATTACCTTCAAATTCACATGAGAAATCATACAGTAGAAAAGTCTTTTAAATGTGATGTTTGTAGTAAATCATTTACTCGGAATAGTCAATTACAGAGACATGTCAGAATTCATACTGAAGAAAAACCTTATATATGTGATATTTGTAGTAAAACATTCTCTGCTAGTGGTAATCTACATAAACACATGAAAATACATACAGGCGACAAACCTTATAAATGTGATGTTTGTAGTAAATCATTTACTCAGATTAGTAATCTACAGACTCACAGGAGAATCCATACAGGTGAAAAACCTTATAAATGTGATGTTTGTTTAAAGTCATTTACTAGAAGTTTTGATCTACAGAAACACAGGAGAATTCATGCTGGAGAAACACCTTATAAATGTGATGTTTGTAGTAAATCATTTACTGAGAGTGGAAGTCTACAGTCACACATGAGAATTCATACAAGGGGAAAACCTTTTCAATGTGATGTTTGTGGTAAACCATTTTCTGATCGTAGTCAACTACAGTCCCACATAAGGATTCATACAGGTGAAAAACCTTATAAATGTGATTTCTGTAGTAAATCATTCACACAAAGTAATGGTCGATGGAGACACATGCATCTTCATACAGGTGAAAAACCTTATAAATGTGATGTTTGTAAGAAATCATTTAGAACCACATCTTATCTTAAAGTGCACACGAGAAGTCATACAGGTGAAAAACCTTATATATGTGATGTTTGTAGTAAATCATTTACTGATAGTAGTACTCTACAGAACCACACCAGAACTCATACAGGTGAAAGACCATATAAATGTGATGTTTGTAATAAATCATTCAGTAGACCCTTTACCCTAAAGAGACACATGAAAATTCATATGTGAGGATTGTGGTAATTTATTTATATAGAGTAGAAGTCCAGTTATTGAAGTAATTTAGGCATAGATAGTAGAAGTCCAGTGATTGTGTTTAATTATTCATATAGAGTAGAAGTCCAGTGATTGTGTTTAATTATTCATAGAGATAAGTCCAGTGATTGTGGTAATTTATTCATATAGAGTAGAAGTCCAGTGATTGTGGTAATTTATTCATATAGAGTAGAAGTCCAGTGATGATTGTGGTAATTTATTCATAGAGAGTAAAAGTCCAGTGATTGTGGTAATTTATGCATAGAGAGTAGAAGTCCAGTGATTGAAGTAATTTATTCATATAGAGTAGAAGTCCAGTGATGGTGGTAATTTATTCATATAGAGTAGAAGTCCAGTGATGATTGTGGTAATTTATTCATAGAGAGTAAAAGTCCAGTGATTGTGGTAATTTATGCATAGAGAGTAAAAGTCCAGTGATTGAAGTAATTTATTCATATAGAGTAGAAGTCCAGTGATGGTGGCAAATTTGTTCGTATAGAGTAGAAGTCCAGTGATGATTGTAATAATTTAATCATTGAGACAAATATTTTTATCAAAATAAAGGGGCAGATGGATTCAGACAACAATTAAAAATCACAGTCAACTAAATATTCAATTTGATATCAAATAAAAATAGATCCACCTTGCTATTTTTATACGTCCACATTCATAATGTGAACGTATTATGCCGTCGCCCCTGTCTGTGTGTGTGTGTGTGTGTATGTATGTATGTGTGTGTGTGTGTGTGTGTGTGTCTGTGGTTCGCCTACAGGGCGCAATTCTTCATGGATTTTCTTCAAACTTGGTATACTTATTCCTTATACCCCAAGGAAGATCCCTATTGTTTTTGGTGCATGCCCGACCCCCCGGGGCAGAGCCACGCCCATTTCTAGTATTTGTTTGTTTGTCGTCTACAGGCCACATTTCTTAACTAATAATCTTGAAACTTTGCATACACATTCTTTGTACCCTAAGGAACATCCCTATCGTTTGGGGTGCATGCCCAACCCCCAGGGGCAGAGCCACGCCCATTTTCTTTTCGTGTGTCTTTGTGTCGCCTACAGGGCGCAATTCTTACTGGATTTTCTTCAAACTTGGTATACTTATTCCTTATACCCCAAGGAAGATCCCTATTGTTTTTGGTGCATGCCCGACCCCCAGGGGCAGAGCCACGCCCATTTCTAGTATTTGTTTGTTTGTCGTCTACAGGCCACATTTCTTAACTTATAATCTTGCATACACATTCTTTGTACCCTAAGGAACATCCCTATCGTTTGGGGTACATGCCCAACCCCCAGGGGCAGAGCCACGCCCATTTCCCATTTTCTTTTCGTGTGTCTTTGTGTCGCCTACAGGGCGCAATTCTTACTGGATTTTCTTCAAACTTGGTATACTTATTCCTTATACCCCAAGGATGACTTTATTTTGTTTGGTGGATACCCGACCCCCTGGGACAGAGCCACGCCCAATTTTTGTGTGTGTCTTTTGTCGTCTATAGGCCGCAATTCCTTACTGATCCTTTTGAAACTTTGTATACCTATTCCTTATACCTTAAGGATGAACCTATTGTTTTTGCTGAGCCACACCCATTTTCCTTTGTGTGTGTGTGTGTGTGTGTGTGCGTGTTGCCTACGGCCACAATTCGTCTTGGAACTTGATATAACTATTCCTTATAGCCTAAAGATAGCAACTACTGATTTTAGTGCATGCCCCGATTCCTAGGGACAGAGCCACGCCCAATTTTTGTGTTTATCGTATACTGGCCACAATTATGAATGACTCAACTTCAAATTTGGCATATGTATTCCTTATAGTCTAAAGGCGGCCATGCCCAGTTTTTGTGTTTAGCGTCTAAAGGTCACAGTTGTGAATGGATTATCTTGGAATTTAGTATAGCCTACTTATTCCTTATACCCCAAGTACGGCAACTATTGATTTTGGTACATGGTCCGCCCGCTTGGCCCAAGGACGGTTACTATTGATTTTGTTACATGGTACATGCCCCCACCCCCACCGGGCGGTGCCACACCCACGTTCTGTTCATATTTGGTCTGTAAATAATCTACAGGTTGCAATTATTAACATATTTGGATCCAATTCAGTATGATCCATCATAGGGTTGTGTCCATTTATATTGGTCCATATTCAACTCCCAGGGGCAGAGCCACGCCCAATTTTAGCGTTTTTTGTCTATAGGCTGGAATTCTGAATATGAATGGATCATCTTGGAACATATTTATTCCTTATACCGTAAGAATAGCAACCATTTATTTTGGTGCATGTCTCGACCCCCAGGGGCTGTGTCACACTGACGTTTTGTTAAATTAGGTCTGTAAATTTGGCAAAACAAATCCAACGCCTAGCCTTTTATTTTAAAAAGTACCATATGAATCAAAGCAGGAATGTGGACGTATATTGCAGCGATAGCGATGCTCTCGTTCATATTTAATTCCTGACAGTATTCAAATTTATGTTGGTAATATTACTACAAAATTACGTGTTTTCGTAATACGATAGATAGGGAGCTTGCCGACCCGTGCTTACTTCATATTCATGCCAGTAATATTCCTCCAAAATTACGTGTTTTCGTTTAATCAGTCGTATAAAGACATAGCCATCTTCCGTGTATTATCATGTTTGTTTCATCTGTTACACATTACACATAATTCCCGCCCAAATCAACCTATTTAATATTTTCATTGGAAGACGTAGTTTCATTATGGAAATGGTTTAACATCCTACTGTCTTACTGTTTTCCTCTGACTGGGCTAATGAAAATGGGTATACACCATACAGTGTGCTATGAGAGGAAATTTTGCCCGGACAGCGGCACTATGGCCTACTCTTATATGGAATTCCAACTGCCAAGGGATCTTTTAAATGCATGCCAATCTATACACCCATATGGAAATGTGGATGTATATTGCAGTTGCCCCTGTCCATCAATCGGTCCGTCCGTCCACAATTTCTTGTGAACACTCTTAACTCCATGAGGTTTTAATCCGATTGTTTTAAAAGTGATATATGTGGTTTATATTAGTGCGATGAAGAATCCTATTTAATTTCAATAATTTCTGTTTACTATGCCTAGAGTTATGGCCCTTGTTTTTTTTAACCTTGTTAACGCTAATACGCCAAAAGTTATCAAACGATCTTTGTGGAATTTATATGCATTATGTCTAGAGTTATGGCCCTTGTTTCTCTTTATTGAACCTTGTGAACGCTTTCACTTTATTGAACCTTGTGAACGCTCTAACGCCAAAAGTTATCAACCGATCTTTGTGAAATTTATATGCATTATTTAATATTAGTGAATGGAATTTCAGCAATTTCCATAGTTACATCTAGAGTTATGGCCCTTGTTTTACTTTGTGAGCCTTGTGACAAAAGTGATCATCCAATCTGTATGAAATTTATATGCATTTTTTAAATTTGTAAAACAAAAGAGCCTGTCAAATTTCAACAATTCTGTATACTACTTCCAGAGTTGTGGCCCTTGTTTCAGTTTTTAGAACTTTGTGAACCCTCAAACGACAAAATTATAATCTGATCAAGATTGTGGGTAAAATTCAAGATTATAGCAACCTGTTTTGTGCTCGTACCAAAAGCACTATCGTGTATGAAATTAAAAGTCCAATCTTCCAATATGAAATGAAATGGAGTTTAATGTCCTACTGTTCTGCTCCGACTGGGCAAATGAAGACGGACTTCCGATAAGAATTGTCAGCAAATTGTTAACTAATCAATTAGGGGAAATAAACAACACAAATTATATGCTTTAGTTGATACTTATATTAAAGGTAATTATATTCCTGGCATTTTGGACTTCCAGGGGTTGGTGCAGTTTTATGGAAGACCAAACAGCTCTTTATTCAGTGTTTTTAAATTTAGCTCTTAATTCATAGTCCTTAATTCTTCATTTGTTGTCGTATTTCGACATGTGTACATAATTACTATTTACAGTTTTTCTACCAAAATTAGATTTCAAGATAATTTAAATGGGCAGATTCGTTTGAGTTGTTGCATACTTTGTAATGTAAACATGTTCGACTAAATTGTGTAGTCAAATGAATAAAAAGAAACATTACCGATCATATTAATAATTATTTCATAAGTGCAGAAGTTTTAACACATATGAGTAAATATTTAATGAATTAAGTGAATAGAAGAACTCTGTCTTTAAATGACGTATTATCAGCACATAGCATTTCTTCGTTTCGTTGTGAATTTCCCTGTAGTTCTAATTTTTTTAGAAGAATAAAATTACGCGGGAAATAAATGAATCCCATTCATCAAGTCGCATTATTCCCTTTTTTTGGGGTGTTCGCCTTTAGCCGTTTTAGGAGAATCACAAACACCGGCCAGAATGTGTAACTAGAAAAAGACTTGTCCAATTAGATAGACAATATGAGCACGGTGAATATATCTACAGCATATTAGTCTGATACTTGAAACAAACTTGTCATATTACATAGACAGTATGAGCATATCATATCAAACGGTGAATATGGCTACAACATATTAGTCTGATACTTGAAACAGACTTGTCATATTACATAGACGATATGAGCATATCATATCAAACGGTGAATATGGCTACAACATATTAGTCTAGTACTAGAAACAAACTTGTCATATTTGTCTGGTATCATATCTTTATTACCTTAAAAATTAATGTTTAGAATCAGACAGTATTTAATTTCTGCCGACGTATAATATTAATTTGCTATATATTTGCGAGACAAGATTCAATATTAAAGAGAAGTTTAATATTAATGGCTCAATACCACTCTTTTTGTAACAGAATAATATGTCCCAATCTTTATTCTGGTCAACAAATTGAACTAGTATTCCAATTAATTGATGATACAAATTTCATCTTAACACACCTAATTTAAAAAATCGGAAAAATTAAACTAAATGATTTGAAAAGCCTAACGTAAATCTTTTCAAATGTGACTTGGATTTAAAATTATTTTCGAACCCTCTGGACAAGTAAAATAGTATATAATAATTTACACAATAGGTAGGACACATAAACATCTAATATTTATTTACTGGAGCTGTCAAGCCAGTAAGGGTGTTATTGTCTCTTTAAAGGAGCTAAGTCTCTAACTCAATATCATCAAAATCTTCGACATTGAAAACACGAATTACCTGTCAATTCAAATCAACATTGATGTTGTGATCTTACATATAAAAGATGGGCTTCTGATATCCAATATTCAAGACAAAAAAAAAATTTAACCATTGGTACACGAATCGTGTACCATAATGCTTTTCAGCGCCATTTGGAACAAGGGACTCAAAGAACAAAGCTAGACATATTCCACAAGGCTAGACATATTCCACAGGGCTAGACATATTCCACAAGTCATGTCAAATGGTGACGCTATATTCTTATCTGGGGAGCATGCGCAATAAAGCCAACTCTCACACACGTACTCATATTTTCTCTAGAATTTATTTTCCAATCACAGTGGTCGGATTGTAATCTAGAACGACTTAACACATTAGTATACCTTTGGGAGTACATTTATTTACATCTATATACACGTATATCATACTCTATCTGTACAGTTTATTTATTTA